ACCTGATATGCTAACCTCAGCAACCCGTTAACCCGCTCTCGCATGCTAGCCCATTCAAGCATACTGTCAGAATTTGCTGACCTAACCCACTTAATTACCCTACGTCTTGGGCCTAATTGTTAGCCCAAGCCTCTTTGTGTGCCTTCACAATGGCAGTCCACTGCCTGTTGCCACCGCTGCTTTCCCTCTTACATCATCGCCAGCTCCAACAGGTTGTTATCACTGCCCCAGCAACAACCCTTTATCACATACCACCGACTACTATCATTGGTTGTTGCCACCAGACCCACTTGCCCTTGTTCAACACCACAGACTTTCGTCATCATCAATGACTGCTGCCAATGAAAAACTTAAATTTTCTAAATTTTTCTAAAATTTTCATCATTTTTATAATTTTTGAACGGGCAAGCAAAGCTCTCTAGAAATTATGGGACAACAAACACATCATCAATAAAATTATCATTTTTCATGAATCTTGAGGATATTAGTACAATTCTTGGATCATTAACATTCAAAATCAAATTTAAAATTATTCATAACTCCAATTTTATTATACATAGTCAAACTAACTGACTCAACGAGAAGAACCCAATATAGTCAAAATTGGCCCTATTCAAATCAAATCAAGCCAAAGTCAAGCAACAAAATCATTTTTGAAAGCTTTGAGTGGCTAATTGGAAGTCCAAATTGAGTATCTCAACATGAAAAAGCTTATAGCCAAGTCGAGTATCTCATCATGACATGTCTAGTGCCCAAGATCATTCAATTCGTACATCATTAAGACACTTAAATGTCCACAAAATGATTTTTGATCGTGGGAATCTCTCTGAGTCATTCAATGGAGTGGTCTAGAATCTTTCTTTATTTGTAGAAGAGGTACTTCTAGACTCTCTTGGCCCTTATTTGTGTGGAAGGCTCTTTCTGTGGCTCAATGTCTATAAATAGAGCCCAAAGAAGGATTTATTTATAAATGGGGATCTAGACATTGAATCAAAGAAAGAGCTAGGCTTAAAGATGGTTTCCAAAGAAGCTAAATTTCAATGTTGTTCTACTCTGAAGATCAGTAGAATGCTTCCCGCTTCTGCAGTCACCGACCACTGCTCACTTGCCAACATTAACCACCGTTGGACGCCCCTGCTCATCGAAACAAAGCCCCTAACAAAGTCACAACGTAGTAATGAAGCACCATGTGGAGTAAATACCAATGTAGGCACCATATTAAGTCCTACATCATCCATAACATCTTGAATTGATGCATCGAAGTCTTGACAACTACTCCCAACCATTGTATAATGCACTGTACACAACAATTGTACTTCAAAGAAATATATATAAATTTCTCACATATAGGATAAAAGTTTGAGTTTATACTCATCAATTCATAGTTGATAGTTATGACTGGGTTAGGCTTCTATTTTTTTTTTCTTTTCATTCCACATAAAAAATTTTGGTGTCTCTACCCGTCACATCAATTACTTTTGTGTTTGTTGGACTTTTGTGTAACGCTAAGATGCTAAAAAATTATTTTATCTCCATGAATCTTCTGACACACACCAAGCCTCAACTTCAAAAAAGATAAACATTTAGAACTTAAAACATTTGCCATTACAAAATGAATTTGATTCTCATTAGTTGTGTGAGATAAGTGGATTGGCTTGTTGAGTGGTATAATTTATATTTAGTTACCAAGGGGTGGTTCTATTCACAATATAATTTAAATTGTGGAGTCTTTTGAGTTCAATATAAAAATGGTTGAATTAGTCTTTTGTTGGAATTTATATTAAAAGGATGTAAAATATGCTCTACTAGCTAATAAAATTTAAAACCTCATTTATATATTTATCCTTCCTTTTGTTTTATCATCTATATAATGTTTTCAAACATACTTGATTTAACAAGTTATTTTTGTACTCATACAATTTGTTAAATATGACAAATTTACATTTTTTCCTAAGTGCACTTTTGTAGGATATATTTTGCTTTTCTTTTATGTGGGTAATATGACTATTACAATGCATGATGTTGATAAAGTTACATTGTTGAAGAATGAAATAGATTCTCACCTGATATAAAACATTTTGAACTTCAAAATTATTTCCTTTGAATTAAAGTTGCTAATTCTTTTATGGCTAATTCTTTCAAGGATTATTTTATCTGTCAATCTAAGCAAATAGTTGATATAATTAAGTTTGCTCATCTTGCTGACGTTAATATTATTTACACTCCTTTCAAACTCAATTTTCAATATACTCTTCCTCATATCACACTTTTAACTGATCTCATTTTATATCATACTATTTTTTGTAACTTGGTTTATCTCACCATTATATGGCTCATTATTTCTTACGATGTCTACATTATAAATCAATTTAGTTCTTCTATTAGTATTCACGAGTTTGCATTATTTATATTTTGTGTTGTTTATGGGGCACTCCTTTTTTTTTTTAAATATTTTGTGTATATCAACATTTGATTATTCTAAATAAACTAGTAGACCATAAAGCTAAGGTTTTTACATATTTTTTGAAATCTACCAATTTTTGGAAAGTAAAAAAAGAAATAGTATTAGTTCAATCTTTAACAAAAATTGAAATCATACAGTGGTCTCAGCTTTTTTTGAGATAATTTGGTTATGGTAGTGGTTTACTTATATGAGTCTTTTTTTCTACTCATTCAAATGCATTGTGACAATTAAAATATTTATCGTACTCAAAACTTAGTTCTTCATGAAAGAATAAATCTTATCGAGATTGATTGTCTTCTCAGTGTTCTTCTCTTGCAATATAACTTACTTAACTCATTATTTATTTCTTTTTCACTATAGATTGTGGCCTTATTTGTGAAGTCTCATTCATTTTTGCATTTTTTACTTTTTGTTAGGTAAATTTTTTATACTTCTTGCAACATCATATGTTTAAAATTTATTAAAATCGGTCACTGTCATATAAATCTTATAAGGGCTATTACCGCATAACACACCCTTAAAAAGATTATCTGACAAAAAAATGTTAATATATTCTTCATAATTGGTTCTTTGAATTGGTGTAAGTAATTTGTTTGTAAACAACCACAATCAATGTTTTGATGGAGAGAATATAGAAAAGAAAATATTATAAATATGTGAACAACAAATTTAGATATGAAATTGGACTGTCCTTCACCTGAAGGTCCGTTTTGGGATGACATTGGGAGCACGACGTGGGGAGCAGCGCAAAGTTTGTTCTTTTGGGAGCATGTCAGGGTAACGATGTCCTGTTGTTATGGTTAAACACCGACCACAACTCAAGCTCTATGGTCCGTGTTAGAGGTTTGGCTTTTTATAGCATATACCCCTCTACTGTTCGACCCCTTCCCCCACTCTTTTATATTGTGTTTGCTCGTTTTCTTTCCTTTGTTTGATATCAATGGTGAGTCCATGGAGCACTCATAATACGTCGGCCAATGTATCTCTGCTTATCAAGCAAATTCAACGCCATTACCTCGCCCCCGATGGGTCCTACCTCTCCAAATCCTCTTTCTCGGAATTCCAACATATTGTTGCGAAATTGCATGAGAAACCCTAATTTCTTATTCAAATTTTGGTTTAATTACTTGATTTTGCTGGTTTATTTTGCATAAATGGAAGGCGAGGGAGGAAATTTCTAAGGAGAGGTTGCGGTACTTGAGGGCCTTGGTACATACACCGATCTCTATTCTATTTTAATTTGTCTTTCATTATTTTTGCTGATAAATTGTGTTGATGCTAATTATGTTGCATCAAATTTTAAAAATTTGGATGAATTTATGTTTGTAATGGAAATAGGGCTTGATTTAGTACCTTTTCTTTTCTCCAATGCATTTTGTTAATGGATGCTTTTAGGTTGTATACGGAGAGGCAATAGAAAATGGTTGAGGTGTATCAACAAGCAGCATCTTATACATATATTATGGTTTAAGTGGCATGCTTTGTTTATTGTGGGAGATGAGCGATATGTGAGGGGGGAGATTTGTAATTTGGAAACTAGGTTTTAATGGAGTAAAGTAAAAATGATGTTGGATATTATTGGTATCCCTGACTCATTAAACACATGTTTTGTTTATATATTTGTTCAATATTAACTGGTTGAAATTTTTGAGTTGTGAAGGAGGTTATTAAATAATTTATGCATATGGTATTGTTGCCAATTCAATCTCAAGAGAAATGGTGATTTTTGTCTTTTTTTTGTACTATTGGTATTCATTGTTAAGTGAAGTGTGTATCTAAATTTTTGTACTGTTTTGAAGTGAATTTCTACCTCTGAAGCATCAAATATATAGCTATGACAGTTCTGTTAAAAAAAATATTACTAAATAGATGCAGAATAATTATTTGTCTAGAAATAACTGCCACACAATTATTTTCAAATAGCTGAAGCAAACAACCAGTTAGCTTCCCCATAACTGCTTGTAGCTGCCCCAATAGACCCTTAATTTGCTCAATCATGGGCATTTTGTAAAAAGAAAAGAAAATGTGAAATTGCTCACATTAGCTAAACAAATTTCTCTAATGAGTTTCATCAAATTTAATAAAAAAATGAAAATTTACAACAAATTTTCTTCAATCAAATTTTTAATCAGTATAAAAAATAATTTTTCTCAAGCTTAAATTTACTTTATGATATGCCATCATATTCATCATATAATGATTTTAGAGATATCAATCTAAATTGAACCCAAAAGAAATTTTTTTTTTATAATATTACTTCTTTCTAAATTATAATATAGTAATCATAAATGATAGTAATTAAAATAAAAATTATTATCAATGCATTAATACTATTTATAAAAAAAATTAATATTTAAAATTTTCATTTCACTTTTTATTCAAAAAAAAAAAAACTATTAATATTAAAATTTTGATTAATTTAATATTTATTTTTGGATAATGAGTGTTAAAAACTCAATAATGTGTTTCCAATGAACTATATCTTCGGTGACGCTGATGTTAAATCTACCTGTCCGGTGACGGCAGCTCCAAATAGACTTCCCTTATCCAAACTTGCAGAACAGCACCAGAAATCTCAGGGCTGCATATAGAGAGAGAGAGATAGAGGGAGTGTGTGTGTGACTGCAATGGGATTGCCCTCTATTTTCCTTCTCTTCTTCATCGCAGCGATTTCTCCGGCGATCGCCGGAACATTCAGTTCTGTTACTGACTATTCTCCGAACTCCAACTCTAGAATCGAAATCTTCGACACTTCGAACTATGGAAAACTTCACCTCAGCAACGCATTGGGCTTAACCCCTCAAATGGGGTTCGTTTCTTTTCTCCATTTTTGATGTTTTTTTAACTTCATGGTAGACGGCGATTGACTCTGTAGCAATTACTCAGTTTTTTTTCCTTGCCCTTAATATTCTGCGGTAATTTCATGGAATTTGACATTTGTTTGACCATGTTCACATTGTTAGTGAAGTTTCGTGGCGAGATTTGCTGACTCTGTCTCTCTCCCTCTCTCAAAAATTTTTGTTTTTTTTTGGTGCTTGATGGGCGTAGATGGAATAGCTGGAATTTTTTTGCTTGCGGAATCAACGAGACAGTAATTAAGGAGACTGGTATGTTCATTTAGATTTGTTGTTACTGATTTATATTCGTTTGGCCAGTCATAGTTTTGTTGTTTTTTTCCTTCTCTATAAGAACACGTGTGCCTGGGGGAAGTTTTTTTCCTGAAGGAATCTTAAGATAGATGAAATTTAAAACAAAAAAAAAAAAAACAATTTTTTTTTAACGAGGCGATCTTTTGTCTGGTGGCTTGCTCCCCTCCATAAGTGGCCCAGTGCTTGATGAATGTTTACATCTATTTTTATAAAATCATAAGTTTGTTAGCTTTTTTATTATAATAAAAGAGATGTTTTATATTTCATTTTTAATTTATCTTAATTAAATTACTATTTCTTATTTAATTTTTTGAATTAAAATTTTCTTTTTGTAACCATTACAATCATACAATCAAATTTTCAAAGTTTTGACAAATCAAGTGTACTTTTCATTACATTCTCAAAATATTTACATAGTTATATATTTGAAAATTAATTATCAATGTTGTTGGGAGGTGGCATTCCTTTTTTGAATGTATCAATTTAGGGCCCTTTTTTGGTCATTTTTTTAAAAGTAGTTAGGGATGTGCATTATTTGATTAAAGCCAAAAAATTGAACTGAATCAATCGTGTTTGGTTTATTTGGTTGATTTGATTTGATTTTGAAATAACATTTTTTGGTTTTAAAAATTATATTATTTGATTTTTTTATTTTCTTATTAATTTTTCTCTTCATTAAACCAAATAAATAAAAAAATTGAATAGTATTATAATTGAAAAATTAAATTCACTTAGACTAGCTATTCCACTGCTCTGTCTTTGCCATTTCATAAATCTTGATGTCCATTCGATGTAGAGAGAGAGATGGTGAGGAGATAGGAAAGAGATGTAAGACTTATGATTTTTTTGTAGAACTTTAATTTGTAATAATCTTAGATATAAAGAAAAGTCATGCATCATAGAGGAATTAAGTTAATGCATTTTCCTATTTCAGTTGGATTACATTGTGCACCGGCTTTAAGCCCATATCTTTTTTGCTTTAGTTTTGGATGCTCTTACTGGACAATTACAATAGAATCTACCTTGGTGTATGCTTTTCGTTGAGGATATCCTTCTTGTGGATAGGACTAGAGAAAGAGTTCAAGAAAAAACTTAAAAGTCTTCATTTGAGTAGATTTAAAACTGAATAATTGGATTGTAATTTTAGTAGTAGTAGATCTAGTGACAAAGTTGTAAAAATGGGTGATCAAATCATTAAAGGTGTTAACGTTTGAGATATCTCAGATCGATTGTTCAAAGTATGGGGGTATAAATGGGGATGTTATTAGTAGAATTCAAGTTGGTTGGTTGAAGTGGAGGAATGCATCAGGACTATTTTGTGATAGAAAAATATCGCTTAAACTTAAAGGAAATTTTTGTAAGATGGTGATGAGATCTGTAATGTTTTATGGCGTAGAATGTTGCCTTTAAAAGAGAAGCACAAAATTAAGTTAAGTGTTGTTGAGATGAGGATGCTTAAGTGGATGAATAACTTGACACTTAGAGACAAACCATGACAGGGTTGTTCTAGCTCTAGTTGCATACAAGATTAGAGAGAGACGACTTAGATGGTTTGGTCACATTAAACATTGACCATATGATGATGCAGTTAGGAGAGTAGATGCTTGAGACTCGAATTATGTTAAGAAAGGTAGATATAGACCTGAAAAGATGTGGGCAGGTTGTATAAAAAATAATCTTAATTTATTATAATTAAATAAAACTATGACACTCAATAGGACACAATGGAGAAAATGGATTCATATAGCCACTCCCACTTAGTGGGATAAAGGCTTGTTGTTGTTGTTGTATAAAGCAAAATTTCGGTTTGTTCAAAATCAAATTGATTAAATTGAAATACATTTATGATTTTATTTGAATTGGTTTTAGCAAAAGGTTGGCTAGTTGATTTTTTAAATTTTGGGTTTTTATTTAACTTTGTTGACCAATCTATGAATTGATCTATTTAAAAAAACCAATTATAGACGAGTAAATGCCGTGATCAACTTATTTCTCTTCTTGGTTATCTTCATCTTCATTTATTTGTTACTATGGGGAATGCTTATTAATTATAAAGATAATATGATTAAAATGAAAAAAAAAAATGTAAATATAGATATTACCCTAGCTATGAATTGTTGTATTGGTGTGGAGGTTATTGTATACCTGTAATATGGAAATTTGATTTGATATGGAGTGATTGTGCCCCCTTCTTGTGGATCTTAATGAAGATTGAAAGATGATGATTGATTGTGAAACTGCCAGGATTAAAAATCTGAGCTGCTCTTAATGTTGGGCATCTAGTGAACCTTGTGGTGCAACTTTAAGGTCCACCTCTGCCTTTGTGCCAAATACATTAATAGCAGACATCATTCTACTTGCATTCGTTCCTTTAGCATTATAAAATGGTTAGAATAAGTTCTTCATTCGTTCAATGCTTCATTGTTGTAATTTTTTTTCTTGTTGGTTTTTTTGCATATACATAATTATTAAATTTTGATAAGTAACAAATATACATAGATAAAATTTTTCTATTGGTGCTTTGGTATAGTAAGTTATAGGTGGTTGTGGCTCAATTTAAAGTAAATAAAGTGAAAACCAAGATTTTTATCGCCTTAGATAATGTGCAATTGCATGATCATTATTATTATTACAAATTTTTATCGGATCCATAATATAAGCTAGTTCATGATTTCACCGTTCTACTTATGACTAAGGATAGTTTAGCTAGTTAATATTCACCATTCATTGTTATTTGCTCGCTTGAAATTTGGTTTAAGGGACTCGAAACCGACCTATGGTTAACCTCCAAATAGTTTTATTGCATGATTACCATATGGTAAAATTCAAGATGAAAATTGGTGAAAGAAGTGACCTAAAATTCTTGAAATATGTGGTCCAGATAATCTAGAAGGTGTAGATGTATACATTAAATTTTATAGAAATAGAAAATTTAGCGAGATCAGTTGAGAACTCAATCATTACACCTTACTTTGGAGTATTCCATCCAATGCAATTTGATAACAAATTATGTTATTTATTAAAAAAAAAATTCGACGAATGAATTTTGTGAGATTTTGTTCCTTCTAGTTGTATATTTTGTGAAATTTCTTTAGATATTCAAAATATTGTGAATTATGGAGATATTAATCTAGATATTTTTATATCCAATGAGCCAATCAATATGCAACCATTCTCAAGTTCATACCGGCAGCAGATGCAAGCATCTAATCACGTTCCCCTTAAAAAGCTTCGTCACCCCTTTCAACTTCCTGTCTAAATAGGCATGTATTGCAACACCTAATGGGTTGGATGAAAATATGCGTAAATCCCTAATAATGGGTAGATATTGCAAGTGAATTCCAGAGCACAATGTATCATACATTAGAAAACAATGGATAATAAGTGTGTAAGTTGGATATATCAAATTTATTCGATAGGTCAAGTTCATAGAAGAATTTCTTTAAATGTTTGCTAATATCAGTGTTAACTCAAAATACAAAGGAATAATTATATTATTGTTGAAACTTAGGGTGTGTTTGGGGCAGTTGAAGCTTATTGAATAATCTGCTGATAAGTTAGGTGCGGTAGCTATTACAAATTTTTATTTTTTGGAAAAGCCGGACCGCAGCTAGAAAGCTGTAACCGCTCCTAGATAGGTGTGGTGTGAAAATGCTGTTTTTCAGTGTTTTGAAAATGCATAAGCTGCCAAAATGGTGTTTACCCAAATAGGTCACCGCACCAAATAAGCTACCCCAAACAGACCCTTAAATAGACAATCAGAAACAATCAACGAAAATAGGAATACAACGATACAAACACAAATACCCCACTAAGGTGAGGTTCAAAGGTGGTGGTCGTAGTTCGATAAAGAGAAAATTGAGAGGTATGGGTGGTTGGGGCGTCGAGCGTCATCTAGAGAAAGGAAGCCAAAAGGGAGGGTAAAAGTGGCAGCAATAAGAGGAGGTGGGGGTAGGGCTGTTCGATGGCTGGACATCAAGTTAGGTGGTTGTGAGGGAGCCTAGGAAGGGTGGTGTAGGTTGGGGTGATTGTAAGGAAGGCTGGGAAGGTAAGGGAGGGGAAAGGAGGCGGCAGGAAATTGCGAGCTATAGGAAAACCATAAAAGGGGCCTATTTTTCTATTGTGGTAGCAAATACGGTGGGGGCGAAGGCGAAAGAAAGGTTGCGGGAGAAGGGAAATAGAGGATAAATGCCCTCACGTGATCAAACTATAGCTGCAACACCATTCGATCCTTGGGAGACGGTCACCACCTCGGATGAGTTACTGCCAAAACATCTTCCCGCCTTTGGATACAACCCTAGTAGAAAAATACTAGAAGCTGACAGCTGTCCTGAACAAAAATACATGAAAAACTGACCTATACACAACTAAAATAACATATATAGACCTAGGGTAACAAAGGATTGGCTCTCACATCAATTTGGCGGCAAATTCTATGAGAAGTAGGGTCAACTGGCTCTCTTGAGGTGCTTGCTCTAGCTGGCTCTAGTCCAGAGGATGTGAATAGCCCGCAGTCCAGACATCTTGCCGTAGGGGCCAACTATCTAGTTCGGGACTCTTGCAGCAGACACGCAATGTCAGTTTCTCATGATTATGGGAGCTTCGACCTTATCTGTTGAAGCTTTTATCCTCTCTATAGTATGAAATCATATCAGCACGTTGAAGGTAATGAGCTACTATAATCTCTCGAGACTAAAGAATCTTTGACTGCCCTCCTAAAAACATATGGATCTCATGGATCTCATTGCGGTTGCATTATCCCCCAAAACACCTGAGTTTTTTCTAATTGCTAGCAACCATCCATATCAGTCCAACCATATAAGGGTGAACTACTGAACTGAATTGAATTGAAACTTTATGCTAAGTTTGCCCTACAAAATCTTTCAAAGGTATCCTAAGTTGGTTCAGTCCTACTTGACGTGAGAACGGACGAAACTTTCTGTGACGGTGGCAGCCAT